AAAAAAATCCTCATTAAAATACTGGATGTATGATTAACAACAACAATACAAATCGTCATTGAAATTTGCAGTTTTCCATTGCGGATTTTAAACCTTTTTTTAGCAATTATTCAGAAGAATGAAAAAATAAAGGCAACAGATTAATTGTCGTAAGAAATCAATGTATAAAGTACATTTACAGAAGGTGGCCCTACATGAATACTTTGAAGTACAAGGCTCATTGTGCCAGAAACAAACTTACACTTTGGGCTATAAAAGAAGGGAAGAGAGTGACGGCAGTGCAGAGACACAGCCACAGACATTATTGTTGCACTGTAACCATCTGATTAACATGCCCCGGACACTTTTTCTTAGTTTACCGGCATCCTAGCAACTGCTAACAAAGAGCCTGGATTGTCCTGGGCGCCGGGGGACAAGGGGCAGGCTTTGATCTGTGCCACCATTTACAGTGATCAGGAAAGATGTGGAAATGGAGGGGGGGCAAGCTGGGACCCCGGCACCAGGTACAATTCACAGAGTACACTTGCCTGATCACAGATCAGTGTTACTCCTGCCAACTACAGATTGGTGTAACACTTGCCCGATCACAGACCATTGATGCGCCTGCCTGATCACAGACCAGTGTCACTTGTGTGCACAACTGTCGCTTCCAATATATTAGGATGCTGATGTGTGCAACCTGAACAACTGTGAACTTTCATTCACGGGCTGTAAAGTTCTCACGCACACATGGCGAGCTTAGAAAGGCCACTTGTGTTTGCAAGACATGAAATATTTTTTTGTTTAAAAGCCAGCATGGTATGTGATATAAAAATACAGGAATGGAAGTGAGTGCACGGTCATTCCAGAGTGCTGTACAAAATGATCCTACAAAACCCACACTATTCTTTGCAGCAAATTACCTGTAAACACATTTTTAATCATATGTCCAGCAAATTAATTTGTTGTAAGATGTTTTATTTGGATAGATGTAATTACTAACGGTACACCAAAGTGAAATTAATGAATATTAAATAACGAACAAATATGCTACTAGAAACTACAAATTAAATTATTAGAATATAAAAAAACAATTCTTTATATAGTATTTATTATACTGTGTGTGTGTGTGTGTATATATATATATATATATATATATATATATACACACACACACACACAGTATAATAAA